CCAGGCCCTCTCCTCTGAGCCACCCCCTTCCATGGGACGGACCCTGGGGTGGGACCTTGGGGCCTGGCAGTCGTGGGAGGAAGGGGGACACCGGCCGAGGCCTGTGACACTTGTGACCTGGATATGGGGCTAGGAGAGGAGGGCTAGGATTTGGGGGTTCATGCTTGTGGGAGGGGCTGCAGGGGGAGGGGGAGGTGGGAGAGGTCTCCTGCGTGGGCGGCACCTTGCAGCAAGTGTGAGAGGCACAGTGAGAGGGGAGAGAAGGTGCCCACCCTCAGAGGGGACAGAGGGGGGCTAGGAAAGGAGGGGGGCCCGCTGCCCACCCAGCCTGGATATGAGGGCTTGCCCAGCAGTGTCCCTCCTGCCCCCCAGGCTGGGCTCACACTCTCTCTCTTGGCTCCCTGCGGCGATTTATGGGCATTGCCCCCAGCACCAAATGTCACTGGGTTCAGTCAGCCCGCAACTCCCGCTGCACCCCTCCCCCACGGAAGGCTCCCCTCCCTCCGTTTGGAATAGTCTAGGGGGGGGGGCGGGGATCGTAGAGCCCAGGCCTCAGGGCCAGGGAAGGGTTTGGGGGTAGCCCTTGAGGAATGCAGGGTTCAGGGACTGAAGGGGGCTCCTGGGGCTGAACGGCTTTGTGGACACCTCCCCGCCCCCAGCGGATTTAGAAGAGAAGCCAGGCTGAAGCGGACAGACTCCAGGGCAGCCTGGACAGAGAGGAGGAGGAGGAGGAGATGCCCTAGGAGGGTCCTGGGCACGTGGTGGAGGGCCAGGGGCTGGCCTGTGGCCTGAATAGGTGGTGGGTGGGGGACCCCCCCCCCATTCCTGTGCTGGGAACCCCCCGTGGCTGTTCCTGGGGCCCAGCGGGGGTGGGGGGGGGGCAGCCCTTACGACCAGGCAGCTGAACCATGTTCCAAAAGGCTGACTGGCCCCTCTCCACCCCAAGAGGACACACGTGATCTTGCCCTCCTGCCCCTCCCTCAGGGGAACTCACCCCCCTCCCCAACTCCCACAAAGGGCAAGGGTGGGGTCTAGGTGTGGACACCAGATGCCAAGCAGCCCCTCCCCACACGGTCCTGCGGGACTTGGCAACTTGGAAGGGAGGTGAGGAGGGGCTTGCTCAGGGAGCGGTAGTGACAAAGGGGTGATTCTTTCTCCAGTCCTGAGGGGTGGCCTTGTGGCCTCATTAGCCTGAGGCAGAGGCACTGAGCTGGGTCCTGCGGGAGGGGAGAGCTTGGAGGAGCCAGCGGGAGGCTGCCCTGCAGGGGGGGGGGGTGACCCCGCTGGTATAGAGGGTGCTGCAGGGGCTGGGTGGGTCCCGTGGACAGGCCCGCCTCCCAGGACTCCTAGAGATGGGGCAGCGGCCCGAGAGGGCGCTGGGCCCGGTTGCAGACTTCCCTCCTCCTCCCTCGAGTCCTGGCTGCCCCCACGCTCCCCTTCTGGCCCAGGCCAAGACCCGACACCTGCTCTCACACCCGGCCTTGCCAGGCCTGGCCCCGCTCCCTGCAGACATGGCTGTGCCGCCGCCACGCAGGCACGCGCCCTCACACACCCGCTCTCACCCAGGGCTCGGGCCCAGCACACACCACCCCTCACCCTCCTACGATCACCCCCGCACACGCAGCCACGCTCACCACCACGCCTGCCTAGAGACCCAGACTCGCCCTGGCCCACCACCTCTCTGGGCCAGCTCCCCACTGGGCCCCATGAATAATTCACCCCTTTCTCTCTGGGCATCAATTATTCATCCCCTGAGATTCCCAGCCCTCAGTTCTCTTGGGGAAAGCCCCGCCCTGGCCCCGCCTTCGCTGTCGCCCCGCCCCCTGCGTACCCGGGGCCGGTCTACATCCGACTAGCGGCCCAGGGCTGCGCGTCTCCTGCAATCAGGAGAGATCTCAGGCCCTCGGTCCCGCGGGGCTGGTGTGCCCGTGGGGAGGCTGGGAGCTCCCTTCACCCGCAGCCACTGCCGACGGCCCGCCTGAGCTGCGGTGGCTCATCCCCCTCCCCACGTGTTCTCCCTGCAGGGGCGACCCGGACAAGTGTGACATCTGGGGCAACACGCCCCTGCACCTGGCCGCTTCCAATGGCCACCTGCACTGCCTGTCCTTCCTGGTGTCCTTCGGGGCCAACATCTGGTGCCTGGACAACGACTACCACACCCCGCTGGACATGGCCGCCATGAAGGGCCACATGGAGTGCGTGCGCTACCTGGACTCCATCGCGGCCAAGCAGAGCGGCCTCAACCCCAAGCTGGTGGGCAAGCTGAAGGACAAGGCCTTCCGCGAGGCGGAGCGGCGCATCCGCGAGTGCGCCAAGATGCAGCGCAAGCACCACGAGCGCATGGAGCGGCGCTACCGGCGGGAGCTGGCCGAGCGCTCCGACACGCTCAGCTTCTCCAGCCTCACGTCCAGCACCCTGAGCCGCCGGCTGCAGCACCTGGCGCTGGGCAGCCACCTGCCCTATTCGCAGGCCACCCTGCATGGCACCAACAGGGGCAAGACCAAGATCCAGCGGAAGCTGGAGCGGCGCAAGCAGGGCGGCGAGGGCACCTTCAAGGTCTCCGAGGACGGCCGCAAGAGCGTGCGCTCGCTCTCGGGCCTGCAGCTGGGCAGCGACGTGATGTTCGTGCGCCAGGGCAACTACGCCAACCCCAAGGAGTGGGGGCGCTCCCCGCTCCGGGACATGTTCCTCTCAGACGAGGACAGCGTCTCCCGTGCCACGCTGGCGGCCGAGCCTGCCCACTCGGAGGTCAGCACCGACTCCGGCCACGACTCCTTGTTTACCCGCCCGGGCCTGGGCACCATGGTGTTCCGCAGGAACTACCTGAGCAGCGGGCTGCAGGGGCTGGGCCGGGAGGACGCGGCGCTGGACGGCGCGGGCACGCCGCGGGGCCGGCTGCAGAGCTCCCCCAGCCTGGACGACGACAGCCTGGGCCGTGCCAACAGCCTGCAGGAGCGCAGCTGCGGGGAGGAGCTGCCCTGGGACGAGCTGGACTTGGGCCTCGATGAGGACCTGGAGCCCGAGACGAGCCCGCTGGAGACCTTCCTGGCCTCCCTGCACATGGAGGACTTCGCCTCCCTCCTGCGGCAGGAGAAGATCGACCTGGAAGCCCTGATGCTGTGCTCAGACCTCGACCTCCGCAGCATCAGCGTCCCCCTGGGGTCCCGCAAGAAGATCCTGGGGGCCGTGCGGAGGCGGAGGACACGGAGCTGTGAGTGCCTGCCCCCACCCGCCACCCCCCAATGGGCGGGGAGACAAGGGTTGGAGGGGGAGGGGATCTGCTTTCCCCGGAAGTGAGGGGTAGTCCCCATCCATCACATGAGGCCCCACTTATTTTCTTTACGCCAGTTCAAGAAAAGAGGCTGCCAGTTGGTGAAGACTTTCACCCAGGCTTTCTTATCACAGCGAATGTAAAGTGCACCTCCGTTGTGGGCTTATCAGAATTTGGGGAAGTGGGTGTCTTAGTCTGGACAGACATGGTGGTCAGTCATCGCAGCGGGATGTTTGGAGCCCTCCCAAGTCCCGGCTCCTTGCACTTGTTCTTTCATTTAATCCTCCCAGCTCCCCAGCGCGGGGCTAGATCACCCCGACTTTCTAGTGAGCAAGTGGGAGCTCGGAGTAGCTCACCCCGAGGGCCTGCTGCTGCTGAGGCAGAGCTGGGCTGGCTCCCTGTCTATGTGACTCTAAAGCCTGGGGACTAGGTCACTCCCAGGAAGAGCAGCGTTGTCACCTGGGAAGCCACGGGGAGCTCAAAGCTGCTGTCCCGACCCCTCCCTCATGGCAAACCACAAGCCCTTTTCGTGTCTCTGGCCTTTACCCTACATGTGTGGGCAGGGGTGGTTTAGAGTTTGGGGTGTGGGGTGGGCACCCCTAGGCAAGTGTCCCCATTCCTGACCATCAGCCTGCCCAACGGTAAGTTGTCCAAATGGCTGGTCTTGGTTGAACCCGTCTCAGAGGCTCTTCTCTGAGGTCTGTTTCTGTCTCTCTCTCTACAGATAACAGGGGCCTTCTCTCCCAGACCAAAGTGAATTGCAAGTTGCCACAACCCACAGTGGGGCCACGAAGTCTCCACAGTTGCCAGCCCTGCAGCCCCGGCCCCTCCCCAGGGGCAGGGACTCGGAAGCAGAGGGTATGGCCTGGAGGCGCCCAGAAGGGTCCTGGAGCCCTTGAGCCACCCCCATTGGAGTGGCCCTAAAGGACGTGTGGATTTGCAGGAGGCCCGGGGACTAGACTAGTGCCCATGAGGGCGGGTGGGAGTGGGTGTGTGAGGGGTGGGTGCAGCCTGTCCCAGGGGCCGCTGTCCCTCCCATCCCTCCTCCGGGATCCCGTTGCTCAGGCTGGACACTTGCTCATGTCCTGCATTTCTGGGAAGAGAAGAGTTTGGGCTGCCTCGCCTCACACTCCAGAGAGGAGGCCCCGGCTCGACTCTTCAGCCAAATGCCCTGACCTCAGTCCCACCCCTGCCCCTAGCACAGCCAGCTGGGGAGTTGGAGGGCCAGGCTGGAGTGTGTGTGTGTGTGTGTGTGTGTGTGTGTGGGCGCATAGGGCGGGGGTGACTGGTGTCCTTACAAGCTCACCCTGGGGTGGAGCCCAGCCTGACTCTGCCCTCCCTACCTTGTCCTCCTCCACCTCCCCTCTCCTTGGCTGTGTCGCCTGGCCCCCCAGGGACCCCAGAGGGTCAGGGCCACAGATGCAAGGTGCTAGTGTAACCGGCTGCAGTATTATGGCCCCGGGCCCGAGGCAGGTGAGCTGGGCATGGCCGGGTGTCCAGCCTAGAGTGGGCAGGCCGTCATGCGGACACTGGAGCAGCCTGGGAAGGTGGATAAGCTCAGCTGCTGATTGTCCCCAGGGCTCTGTGTGCCTGTGTTGGGGGTTGGTTGGTGGATTTCCTCAAGGCCTGGGAGCCCCAGAGGGTCCTCAGATAGGTGTCCTCGGAGCTCTCCAGTCAGACCAAGGTCACAGATGTGGGAGTCGCTCAGGGTCCCACCCACGTGTGTGAGCACATGCCCACCCCCATGCAATGGACCCCATCCCCGACCTTCAGCTTGGAATGCGCTTCTGCTGGGAGCACTGCCACAGCCCCCCCCACACACCCCTTCCCTGGCTGGGGCAGGGAAAGGGAACCCCCAAAGAATGCCACAGGCCTTCCTTTGGGTGTCTTGGGTGTGGGCCCTGTCTGGCCATGCCCAGAGCTGGGGTGTGATGGAGGTGGTCTGTAGTGCCTGGTCCCACCCGGAGGGCTGTGCTGCCTGCCACGGCCACCCCGAGCCCACCCCAGTCCTCCTCCTGTTCTCGGCCTGAGCCTGGGGCCACCCCAAGTGCCGACTAGATTTCCTCGGAGCCCCAGGTGCTGCCCTTTCCCCTGTTCCCGGCTGTGCCCTGCCTCAGCCCCTCCTGTTCTCCTGTGCTGGGGGGGCGGGGCGGCGAGCTCTGTGACTCCCACCCTGTGCACAGCGCCCCTCCTGCAGGTTCATTATAACCTTTGCAGAGTATGTTCTGCAGCATTGTCATGCCTGTGTCCTGCTCTTTAATCATGTGGGGGTGGGAGAGGGTTGCATGAAGTGGGCAAGGGGGTGGGGTGGGAGAAGGAGGGGGTGTTTTGTGCCTTTGAGGACTTGGTCCTATTCCTTGGAGGGACTCTTGGGATGGGCGGTTGGCCACTCCTCCCTGGGCCTCTGCGGGGCCTCCCCTCACCCCCGGCCTTCCCCTGCTCTCTGGGCCCAGAGTTTGGAGCTGATGGAGAGGGAGGGCTCGGAACTAGGATGAGCCCACTGGAGACCCCCAGCAGCGGAGTGGGGAGGCGGCCCAGGCGCCAGCCTGTTCCCGGGGCCTGCAGCTGCTGAAGGTAGGACAATGCTTTCTCTCCTCTCACCGGGGTCTGCCTGGGCTTCTCCAGACACGGGCAGAAGCCGCACACCAGCACACTGCCACCCGCCACCTGGGCCCCACCAGCCCTGAATCAAGGCCCCTGCCCACCCTGGGAGGCCTCCCAGGCAGCTCTTGGGGCAGCCCTGTTTAGAACCCTCCTTTCTTCCAGCTTCCCCTCAAGCTGCAGGACAATGGGCTCTGTTTTCTGTCAAGTTTGGGAAAGGGCTCTGGAGTTTTGTTCCGTTCCCTAAGGATGCTGGTCCACGTGCATCTGCCAAGGGGAGTTCAAGACAACCCCCTCCCTCCAGCATCCATCCGCAAGGTCCACAGGACCTCAGGGCTGGAAGGTTGCCTAGCAACCATCTAGGGGTTCTAGCCACCTCCCTCCACTTTACAGGTGAAAAAGCTGAGGCTTACCAAGAGGAGGGTCCAGACCCAGACACAGGCCTCCTCTCCTCACCCTGTGTCTGCCAAGAGGGCCAATAAGACGTGAGATTCTGCCTCCCATGCTTAACCGGTTCATCAGCCCAGCAACCCCTACTGGCCACCCTGGTCACTGCACCTACCCCTGGAAAGACCGGCCCGTCTGGGCGAAGCAGGTCCAGGGAAGGACATGGGGACGAAGACTCGAAGACTCGCAATGACAAGGGAGAGGATCAGAGCGTCAGCGCGGAGCCAGAGACTAACCCGGAGCAGTGGGGGCGGCGTCTCCGGAGGTCATGCGGCTGAGGATGGAAGCCTGGGGCGAAGAGCTGGTGGCTCCAGAAGCCTGGGGACACACAGAGTGAAGGGGAGAATTTTACACCAGACTCAGCTTGCTCCACTCGTTCCCCTAAAAGCGTAGATCGAGTTAGGGAGATTCTTTCTAGAAGGTTAGGATAACCAATGATCCTGAGCCGTCGGGGATTACAATCTGACGATGATATGGACACTTTCCCTGGAAGGTGCACGTGGGGCGTGCACACACTCCAGTGCACTTTCATCCACAACTTCAGGCCGTTCACGGACCCCCAAGAGGCCCAGGGACCCAGGTTAAGAGCCTTAGTCAGCCTGGGGTGGACCGTATCATCAGTGGGATTGCTGATGGAAGGAGATGAGGGTGGGGGAGTGAATCTGAGGCAGAAAGGCCTCCGGGTATGTGGCTCAAGTCCTCATTTTACAGACGAGGTTAACTGAGGCCAGAGGGCAAGGGACTGGCTGAAGGTCACAGAGCAGCCAAGTGGACAAAGTAGTACCAGGTTTCCCGATGCCTTCCATAGTGCCAGCTGCCGCCTGTGCCCATGTTAGCCAGTCCTGGACAACGTGACACTCGGGTTTATGGGAGGCGGCAAGACTCGGGAGGCGGCCAGATCTGGGCAGCAAAACCATCTCCGCCCCTTTCTAGCTGTATGGCCTTGGATAGGTTACCCCACCTCTTGAGTCTGTTTTCTCAGCTGTAGAAGAGGGATTATAATTTATTATCATAACAGTGTTAATCCCATAGGTCATTACGGGGTGAAATGATAATGGGGGAAAAGCACTTAACACACAGCAGGTAATAATGATCATGGTTATGGGTGGCCTGAAACAGACCCATTGTTCCTGTGGTCCCGGCCCACCCAGGTGAGCCCTAGGCAGTCCCAGGGAGCAGTCTCCTGAGACTGAGCCCCTCCCCCACTAAACACCCGTCCTCATCTGACCAGCAGGGGGTGATAACAACCCAGCCTGAGCTGGTGGACAGGAACCTGGGGATGAGGAGGGCTCATGGGCATCAGCCAGGCCTGGGCATCCCTGTGCCCATGGCAGAGAGAACTGACATGCCGGGTGGTCCCCAACTCCCCTTTCAATGCTCCCCACACCGTCTACACAGCTTGGTCATACTTCAGAGCTGTGGGAGGAGTCCCCATGGCCCTGAACCTCAGCCCTACACACACACACACACACACACACACACACACACACGGAAAACATGGGCAAGGAGGAGCGGGAAACAAGCAGAGCGAGCATGTGCAGGCCCTTTTCTTGCTGGAAATGGAAACCACGTTTTACTATCACTATCGATACCAAGGGGCGTCAGATTTAAGTCATATCAATATTCAACAATAATTACAATTGCACAGGAACTGCCATTAGTGGTAACTGTATCTACCACCACACTTGGCCTTTGTGCTCCATTGGTATCCATTCTACAGAAATGATCTTTTCTGGCTGGTGTGGCTCAGTGGTTGAGCGTCAACCTATGGAGCAGGAGGTCAAGAGTCCATTCTCAGCCTGGGTTGCTGGCTCAATCCCCAGGAAGGGGCGTGCAGGAGGCAGCCCATCAGTGATGCTCCTCTCTTACTGATTTTTTTCTCTATCCCTCTCCCTTCCTCACTTTCTAAAAATAAATAAAAACACATTTAAAACAACAACAAAAAGAGAAATGATCTTAATACTCTCCCCAGAGAACTGTTAAGGTAACTGGTATCACCTTCCTCCACACTCCCTCAGGAAACTGAGGGTCAGAGAGGCCAAGTGACTTGCCTAAGGTCACACAGCCTGGAGTGGGACCTGAGTGTGTCTGAGTCCAGCGCCTCGCTCTACACACGGCTCTCAGCCTTCATACTATGTGAGAACCCCGGCTCTCACTCCCAGCCCTGGCCCAACACACACCCTTCAGGCTCACCCATATCCAGCGTCACTGTCACACACTGGACTGTGGTGCCAACCGGACTCAGAGGGAGCAGCCAGGTGCCCCTTGGGGAACCTCACCAGCCAGGAGTCTGGGTTCCTAACATCCCCGGCCTTGGGTTTTCAAGGACCTAACTTGCTGTGTACTTTGGAAAGATAGCCTGGGCCTCCGTTTCCTTTCCTGTAAGGTGGGGACAGACTGGCAGCCCTCGGAGCCTCAGCAGTGCCCCCACCAGCACAGGGCTGGTCCCCTCTCCCTCACCCCCTCACTCCCTGACCTGCCTCTGGGCCGTGTCACCAACCTGGTTTGGTCCTTGCGGGATGGCTGGCAGCCTGGGAGGGCGGATAGAGGCTGCAGGCAGCTGGGGCAGGCCAGGGGTCTGGTCCTGGGAGGGGAGGCTGAGGCACCCTGTCAATGTGGGCCCGTCCTGCTGGAGCCAGGGGAGCTTGGGGTGCCAGTCCCTCTCTCAGATGACCAAGATCTGAGCCAGAGGCCAGGCTGCTTCTCCCCCAGCTCCCCGGGCCCCACCCCTGTGAATAATGCTGCTTGCCTCCTGGAGCCTCACCGGCCTTTGATGACTGGGGGGGTGGGGGTGGGGGGCATGATGGGTGGAAGACAAGAAAGGGTTAAAGACCCAGCCACCCAGGCTTAGAGCATAGAAATGGTTGCATTGCTGGAAGAGGTGCCCCCCCCCCCAGCCTCCCAGGTCTCCAAACTCTTAGGATTCCCCTCCAGGCCCAGGGGCAGGGCAGGGCTCCTTCCCACCCCTACCCCAACCACAACAATAATTAACCCCAGTGAACCCCAGCAAATAAAGATCTGAATCACAAAGAGGAGGAGTCATCGATGCCCCAGGGAGGGGAACTCCGGAGGTCCTAGGAAAGCCAAACTTAGCATCATCTGACACCCCAATCCCCACACCATTGCTGCCTCATAAGGTCCATGGGCACCCAGTCCACCGGGGCCTGGGAGGGGGCTCGCCTGTCTTGGGTTTGGACCAGAGAGAAGATTAAAAATAAGATAAATAAAAAATATAAACCGTACATGTCTCTTCCCTGAATATTCTAGTACAGGGGTTCTCAACCTGTGGGCCGTGACCCCTTTGGGGGTTGAACGACTCTTTCACAGGGGTCGCCTAAGACCATCGGAAAACACATATATAATTACATATTGTTTACAGTAGCGAAATTGTTTACAGTTATGAAGTAGCAACAAAAATAATTTTATGGTTGGGGGTCACCACAACATGAGGGACTGTATTAAAGGGTCGAGGCGTTAGGAAGGTTGAGAGCCACTGCTCTAGTATGTCCCAGGGGAAGGGGCTCAATAGTGAGATAGGGAGCGGGAAGGACACCTCCCCCTAATCTGATTTTAAAATCTCTGATACAAACAAAAGGTCGTGGGGTTTGGGAGAGGAGTCCTGGGCTTGAGTTCTGGCTCTTCCATTCAGTACCTGTGGGGTGCGTGTTGGGCAGATTAGTTCCTCTCTCTGGGCCTCCACCGATGAAAGTGTGATGATGCCACCCCCCCGCAGTTGTGGGGAAGTCCCACAACCTAATATGTACGTGAAAATCGAATGTACCTTCAAGGAGCAGACGTGTGTGGTGAGAACTGGCCTCTTAGGTTGTAAACCCCTTAGAATACTGACCTGATAAAGAAATCCTGCCCTTTTATAAAGAATTGGAAGGACAAACTCGTAAGAATTCATGAAGGAAAACGCCAAGGAATACAGAAAGAACCTCCCTCCCTCCCCCCTTCCTCCCTCCCCCCTCCTTCTCCTGGTCTCATCACCCCTCCCAGAGGTCTCCTGCTGGAAGTGCTGCTGCCCTCACCATACCAGACCTCATTTCCCCTGGAAAAATATATTCTTATTGATCTCAGAGAGAAAGGGAGAGGGAGGGAGAGATAGAACCATCAATGATGAGAGAGAACCATTGACTGGCTGCCTCCTGCACGCACCCCCACTGGGGAGCGAGCCTGCAACCTGGGCAGGTGCCCTGCCCAGGAATCCAACCGTGACCTCCTGGTTCATATGTTGATCCTAAACCGCTGAGCCACGCCTGCCAGCCGGGCCCAGACCTCATTTTAAAGGGACTTCAGGGTAAGACCAGGGAGAAAGTAAAACAAAAGGAAAAAGGAGAAAGCCGAGAAGAGAGTTTGCAGAGCACAATGGCTCCAGCCTCCAGCCCCGCTGGGCAGGGACCTGGGCGGATGGGAAGGGGCTAGGACCCAAGTCTTGGGGGGAGGGCGGGCGGGAGGTGTTAGCTGTGGCCTTGTCCTTGTCCTGGGTCCAGGCCTGGGCACCCCTGAGTGAGTGAGGGATCCCCCCGGCAATGGTGAAGTCTGGATGTGTTTTCTCCCCAGTTCTCTCTGTCACCCCCAAATCCCTGGACTGGCGGCCAACTCTCCAGGGGTCACGTGTCTGCCAAGTGCTACTAAGAAAAACACTCAGGCTGCGGGAGTAAACACTGCAACAGGAGCAGGTGGGGGGACAGTTGTTGTCCGAGGTCAGGCGGTCAGGGACGCTGGGGGGTATCCGCGC